ATCTTGCAACTTTCAATAAATACAAAAAAAATTATACAAATGTCGAAGAAAAGCTAAGGATTCTTATTATCATCAACTGTTTTACACTATGCCTAAACGATACCATGACATGACTTGAAAATTTATAAACGACGTGCTCAATCCAAAAACTCTCTATTCTTCCGAGTTAGAAAGGACTTTAAACACAAACAAGATCTTTGGCACTCCCTTGGCCGAATACCTCAACCAGTATTTCATATACGTGACGGCAGCCACACTGGTTCCTACAGACGTGGTGATTAAAGTGCCTGCAAATTATATTTTTTTTTTTAGTCAACGGATAACTCTGAAGTTTGCCGAACGTTTCTCGGACTGAAAAATAGTAAAGAAAGTGATATCTGTGGGCTCTAAGTTAGTCCTGTAAAATAATTGATTGATATTATTGCGCCCGAATCAACATACATATTTAATTTGGTCTTGGAATGTGGTTCTTGCTCTTGTGCAACGAAAATAGCGAAAGTGTCAGTCATCTTTAAAGGTGGTGATAAAAACGACTTCGGCAATTACAGACCGATCTCAATACTGACAATATTTTCCAAGAGTCTGGAAAAATTTATTTTCTCTCGTTTTCCTGTCTTCCTTACAAAACGCAATGCTCTAAATGAATGTCAACATTGTTTCCGCGAAAGATGCTCCACTGAAATTGCACTGCTTGTCCAGAAGGAAATATTTATCAATAACCTATAAAAAAAAAGGAAACCTACATCTCGTAGTCTTTTTTGACAATTATAGTAAGGCACTTCAGCGTCTACAACACAACAATCTTTCAACAAAGATGATGGCCATTGGTGTACGTGGAATGGCTCACTCTCTGAAGAGTTCGTATCTGCTTGATCGTAGTCAGTGCGTTGTCATAGGAAATTGTATTTCCTCCGATCGGTCAATAAATTCAGGTGTCCCTCAGAGGCAGCGTCTTATGCCCCCTTCTGTTCGACATCTACATCATAGACATGACATACATGCAGAATGAGCAAACAATCGTTCCATACGCGGATGATACCAGCCTCTTTGTATCTGGTCCAGGGGCTAGCGAGGTCATTCGTAAGGCGAACGCGCTAATTTCCACGCCATCAGAATTATGTTCCTGCAACGACCTTAAAAAATAACTAAAAATTAAAAGCAAATCCTGTTTAGGACCAAGGGCAGATAGGTATTCCTTTATGCGACGAACTACTACTCGAAAATGTACCAGTTGATATTGTTAGCGAACATAGGGTACTTGGTGTCGTTTTTAATAGTATGCTGAACCCCATGTTGACATATTGTTCAAATCCTTGGTATCAGCAACGGGTGCTTGGTCACAATGTCGCCATTGTTTCCGGAAGAGGTGAAAAAACAAATTTTCAGGCACTTCATGCATCCTACATTACCTACTGCACGCTTGCGTGGGGCACCACTGCAAACACCGACATACATAAACTTATTGTTCTTGAGAAACGTGCACTTCGAATCATAGCCGACGTTCCACATCTCCACACAACTTTACCTCTTTTCGCCAAGTTTAACACAGAGTTACTGACGTGTACCAGTTTCGTTTGCTCTATTCATACATCTTTGTCGCTGTCACTGTCAGGACTACAACGGCAGTTCAGTGACCAACGCACCCGTAGTCAGGACAAATGGCTCGTCCCGAAAACGCGTGCTAATCACCTAATGCAATCAATCGTTTACAATGCCCCTTCACTGCTCAATAAGTATGAAAACGGAAATATTGATGTTCATGGCTTAACCCGGAAAAGGAAAAAAAGACATCTTTTTCAGGGGTGAAGCTTCTTATGCCGTAGGTCGTGCGTCCACGATGTATGTAGTAGTAGTAGTGGTAGTAGTCGTAGTAGGTGGCCACCTCTCGTTTAGTCCTTGGAATGCCCGCTGGATGGCGGCGATTCTATAACATGAATATATGATGAAACGATGCGAGATGGTGGTACTTGGAGTGTTCACTAGAAGGACGGACGCACGGATAGATGAATGGATGGACACGCGGACGGATCTACGGACGCACGGACGGATGAACGTACGCTCTGACGGACGGATGGATGGACGGATGGATGGATGGAAGCGTGGATGGAGTGATGAATGCTCCACCCCACTCATTATCATTCAGTCCATAGATATGCTGTGATATCCCTTTTTTTTGTTCTAATGATGCATGACATTTGTGTGTGAGAACAAGTATGTAGACTTAGTACACAAATAGTATGGGTATCGCTCTCTTTATTTTATGGTATTCATTTCTGTGGTACTTGTACATATGGTACTTCTAGTTTTAATGATCACATGAAGTTGCATTGTTTTACTGCTTTTCGCTTTTAAATAACTGTGTCAAATTACCAACAAAAACTCATTTTTATATGTTCATACTGATGTTATTAATACTACTCATGTACACTTACCTTATTTTGTTGCACACTGTGTGTAGTGCATGCTGCCATGAAAGGCCTTCAGGCACTCTGAAGTTGTTTGCAACAGCTTTTCGCCTGAAAGACCCCCGACAAATTTTAAAAAAGATGTTGGAAATAAAGATTTGATTTGATTTTTATTGGTTTGAAATATGTCTGGTTTCCTCGCAATATTCATAACTTTGAGCTAGACATAATTGAGTGTGACACACGACCATAGTAGCATCAGCATAACGATTATCTGACAGTGATGAAAAATATTTTGCAGCTATAAAGTCGAATGGAGCAGCATGCTAAAGTTTGAAGTCTTCGTCTTGAAGGCGTCCTAACGTTACCGAATTACTATAATATTTTCTTTTTCAGTGAAAATACCAGCGGCCACAGCAATCAAAAGAACGTAGGCACCAGAGTGGTTGAAGACCGCAGAAATCTACTTACCTGAAAGAGAAAGACTACGAAAAAATACTGCGCAGGTTCCAAGTGAAAGAATGTCTCTTTATATCTAACTTGCCACAATAAAGAACACCTTTTTGAAGTTAGAAAAAACGCATGCATCGTTTTAATGTCTCACTGCATTAGGTAGTGTGGCGTCGCACTATTTCCGGGCATCGCTTCCTTCAAGATCTTTTGTAATAGAGTCGTGAACTAGAGCACAAAGTTTGATACCTCAATAAAATGTTTTGCTGGATGTGTTGGTTCATCGTCTGGAACAGGCGGCTCGTCAGGCACTAGGCTGGGCTAGTTATTTGACGTTTATCGAAAGGTTTAACTACTTCAAGTACTTCAAGAACACGGACAAACAAAAATATTAAGATTGCGCTTGCACCGACTCGAAAAGGAAATCAACAACAAAATGAAGAACGCTAGAAATGAATTCCTGGAAGCGAGAAATGTCCCTAGAGCCAATGTTACGACAAAGAAGCTTGTCTCTGCCAAGGTCAAGGAAGTTTCTTCTTCGCAAAGCTTCAGCTTGGGCTAGTTGATTCGGCATTGTAATGTAGTCGCTTTGAGCGACACGTACAAATGCGTAACTTCAAACTTGGAAGCACTGTCTGGGTGCAATACCTTGCGCACTTTGTCCCATTTCTTATTAAAACAACATACCATCCCACATTCAATCACTGGAAAGAGCCCAGTGTATATGATTATGGATAGAAAATTACGTTCAGAATCAGACGAACTGCGCCTGGTGCATCAGAACGCTACCTTTGACTTGGTTGCGAGACGATTTAGTGTAAGGGATAGGCACGTAGCTTGTAAATTTGCTCAAGTGATCAAAGTGAAGGTTCCTGTCTCCTATAAGGTTTATATGGCCAATGTTGGAGTTCATCATAGCCATCGCAACCGACTAAGGCACGCATGGCCGACGGAAAAAAAAACTTTCAGAGCTACTACTTGAATGCCACATACATACGAGCACCTGTCTACGTGGAACCCGAAGTTACCAGCCCGAGTTACCTCTACACGTCCGATCACCAGAGCGGAGACGATCCACTCGCACACGAAGACGCTTCCTTCATTTAAAATTAAAATTAAAATTAAAATTAAAAGGAAGGATTGTCGGAACGTGGCATCCAACGCCGCTCTCTGCGCTCAAACCACGCACGCGAACTACGTGCGATCGACGTCACATATCTGTCGCTTTTTATCGAAACGGGCAATAAACCTTTTGTTCTGTGGTTGAGCGCCTTGCTCCGAGTGACGTTCGTTACATCTGCAATGCCTAAACTTTAAACGTATCAACTTCTACACACTTTGAGACGTGTTCTACCAGAAGCTTTTTCCAACAACACACTTTCATAAGCGTAAGAATGGTAAATGAAAGTTGAAGCTGTTTTTTTTTTTGCTTACATGTTACTGTCCAATCATGAAATGCCGAATGCAAACATACTTTTTGTTTCGGAATTGTCGTGCAACGAACCACAATTTTCTTGTCAGCTTGCTTGTCATCTCGCTATCCTGTCACCCTTTAGCGACTTCATCAAGGGTGGCGGGTTGAACTGATGGAATGTCACGAGAATACGTGCGCTTACTAGCCTATAGTCGTTTCCCCTACGAAGGCAGCTGAGAAAGTGTCATGAACTGTGACGTAAATCTGCAAAGCAAAATAGGAATGAGGCTTTCGGAGCTTTTTACAACTAACTAAAGTGTCATACACCCTACGATTAACTATTTTTACTTATAGAAAGGAGCCCTTATCAGCCAACAAATGAGAGTGAAGTCTGCTCTCAATTATTTCATCCTCATTTGCAATTAAATAGGCAACAGTCAAAAAGACAGCAGAAAAGTTTATCTAAAGTGATCGGATACTGTTTCTCAAGCCTTACGCAGTTGATGTCGGTGCCGACGGCCCCTAAGTATTATTTAATGTCAAGGGCTGATTCAATTTAGGCAACTTTCAACCTGTCGCTCACAGTGATGATGTAAGTCACGAAGAGAAAAAAGTAAGTGCTGGTAATGAGGGGGAGCATCGGCTTATAAGCGGGTTGAATATTTCACTCAAAATCATTATCATTCAGGAGGCAAGTGAGCAGGTGGGAGAGTAATAACTCCTGACGTTAGAATGTCCCGAACCGTCGTCGTCGTACACACATTGCTGGCGTTCCTGCTGCCGACTGTTTTGTGCCTAGGTGAACATAAGCTACGCAGAAACCAAACGAATGCTTTTCAGGTGAGGCTCCGATCGTCACCGCTGCGAATGACTTTTATAAATTCATACACGTATGTCTTGGTGGTTGCGTACGGTTTCACTGCGTGTACAACAAGGCTACTCAAGGCCATTAACTCAGCAGTGACCGAGTTCGTGGCCACGTTCTCATTCACCCTTACTTCCCTTAACCTTCTAGAGAGGGTGATATTAATTCAGCTACAACAGAGTTACTAATACAAGCATTTTGAAGGCGGATCGCATCCCTTGTCATAAAGTTAATGCCTATGCCTGCGTGTAGCTTCAGAATCGTGATAATATGAGCCTATAGCAATGAACAGAAGTGCGTTTAATTCACCTTTGATTTATAATGCTGCTGTGCCCTCTTTAATAATGCTGAAAATTATTTTTACAGCAGTACATAATATATAGAAGCCAACGGGTAGTGACTATAGACTGTTTAACATATGAAGACACACATTCCAAGCGAGATGACATAATTGAAGGGCACGGAGGCCAACTAGAGGTAGTGGTGAATGCCATACGTTTGAAGGTTTTCATAACACCATAGGGGAATAAGTTTGGCCATCCCACTGGCTGGCCGGTCTATGCGAAGTTTTTATTGGATCTTTGGGAAGGCTTCATATTATGCAAGTTGGTAAATGTTCGACCATACAAGAGGTAGGCGCCGAAACATTGCAAAGGCCTTTCAGGAAGTAAGCCTGCCAGTCGAAGAACAGTGTGTTTTGGACTGAGGTTAGAATATAGTACAAACACATTTTCATGTTATCATTGGCGTAATAAAAAGTGGTTCTTGAAGAAAAGGGAAAAGGAGCTAATTTCGGCCTGCCTTGTAGGCGACACGGCTCCTCACGTTCAACTTGTGCGATGGCTTCAGAAGCTGACGACGACACTTCTTGCTCGTCGTACGGCACGTCTGGCTATCCACATCGTTCGGGTTTGCCTCCGAGAATAAATAAGCATAACAAAATGTAAAAAGCTTTCCCTCACTTGCATTACCGGGTCAGCCGAGCTAATGCTGTTTTTCACTGGTAGATTCGGAGCAGGTTTTTTTGCTCCGTGGCGACGAAACCGCATTTCACTGGTAGATTCAGAGTGGATCCGCGCTTTTCACTGGTAGTTTCAGAGCAGCTCGCTCCGAGGCGGATTGCTCGCACTGCTCCGCCGACAAGTCGCAGATTCGGGCGGAAACACGACGAGCAGCATACGTCACTTCCGTCGTTGTACGTTGCTGAGTTTTGCAAAATGGCTGCGTTCGCTGCCTTGGCGGAACTTCTGTCTAGCGACGAAAGCACTTCAAGCAGCAGCTCGTCCAGCTCAGACGACGAAGACTTCGAGGAAAGACAAGCGCTATGCGAAGCCTTCTTTCGGGAAACTTTTTCGGAGTCCCACCGCGAACGTCCCAAAATTTTGGGGTTCATCGAGAACGTTGCGCGGCTGTACACAGACGAGCAGGTAAGCGCGGAGCTCCCTCTTTTCATAATACTACATGAACCTAATTTCATCTTTTTATCATTTCCTTCTCTGCAGTTCCGTCAAGACTTCAGGGTGTCGAGGCGTGTCGCGGAAACGTTGATCCGTGGTTTTGAAGGCTCGCGTCACTACCCATGCAGTGATCGTGGTGGGTCCCCCTCGAAAACCGCGGAAGAGCACATTCTGGTCTTTCTGTGGTAAGTCTGCACGCTGTTTTAAAAGTCATGCCTACCAGTGTGTATAATCTTAATGCTTTCAAGTGCTTCGGCGTAGAAGTACGTTTTTTCGTTGCGTGCGCAGAATTTTGACGGGGAGTCCAACCATTATAAATTTTTGTTCGTGTGTTTATGTGCGCGTGTGTAGAGAATATACACATGTGAAATTTAACAATTTCGGCGGCGTTAAATCTCCCTAGTAGCCTTCCCGTGGCTACGCCGCTTGTGCTTTTTGTCCTTGAAAGTTGCTAAGTGTGATGCAATGGAAACCAATGAAATATGACCGCTTGCAACTGCACAGCCAGAGAGAACAGTGTTAAGAGCTTCTACTTTTCTTACGGCTGCTAATTTTGATGCAAATATTTCATGCCTTTATTTCACAAAGCAGGCTTTACTTGATCACTTTCTTCCATAATGTGTGTTTGCTGTGTCAGGTTTGCTGCAAACACGGCGTGCCTGAGGGACGTTGCTGGACGCTTTGGCATGGCAACTGCGACAGCATTTAGAGTCGTGGAGCGCACGCTCGAATATTTCCTTGATATAGCCGAAGAGGTAATATCATTTCCAGGAGATCTTGATCAGCTGTCAGCGGACTTCGAACAAGTAAGAATTTTAGGTATTTCACTGTTCCATGGCAAACACAACAAATGAGTTGTCTAATTGAAGCTTACTTTAGAGAATAGTCACATAATACATTGATTGTAGCAGGTTAAGCTGCCGTTGGGGCACAGGGGATGTGGTACTAAGTTGCGCTTGAAAGATGGGGTTATTGTCAAGCAGTCTCACTATCAAATGAGAAATGCTAGAGAAACATGTATTGTTCATTTACAGTGCACATAAAAGCAGGGTGTCTGCCAACGTGGAAAAGTCAGGGAATTTCAAAAAAACCAGGCCAGGTCATGAAAACTGACAGCAGTTCTGTGGGACCGTCACAAAAATAAGCATCGCCATTCATCAAAGCTTAAAAAGTCTCTCAGCTGCAACTACAGTGGGCTGCTGGAAGGTGTGTGAAAAAAAAAAAAGGACAGTGCATAACTCTTGCTTCTGAGTGTAAACGCGAAAGGGACCCATAGAACACAAAGTTTACTGACATTTCAGTACCTCATATGGGAGAGAGCCTTGTTTAAAAGTCATGAAAAAGGCACAGTGTACTTCAGTACGCCTAAATACGTGACGTAAGCAGAGAGAGTACATTGTCAGAAGCCTCCCATCACTCCTGTGCAGCGTATGTACAGTTGTCTGTATCTGGATTCGAGAGTTTTACAAGTCTATTTGGTGGTCTGTGATTCCGTGTGTTCAGGGAGGGCAGTCGAGGCCACGCCTCGTTTTGTGGTATCATATTTGTGTTGTTTAACTTTTACCAGTTTCACCGATGTACTGGTCACAATTATGTCAGCCTATGGCATAAACTAGACTAAGGAAATTTCTGCTCGGCAACTTGTCCTTCACATTGGCTAAAGCATTCTTTAACATCCATGTTGGTATATCCACTCTTTTGGTGCCTGTTGCTTCTACATATCACACGGCATATCTGACTCACGTCTGTAGATTTATGCATGTTTTGTCTATGCCACGATTTCGGCCCGGCTTGAAGGCCGTCTGGTTTTTCTAGGCTAGAACTGCTATCAGCTGAAGCTTGCTGGGCTACTCATGTCTTTTAATAATAATAATAATAATAATAATAATAATAATAATAATATTATTATTATTATTATTATTATTATTATTATTATTATTATTATTATTATTATTATTATTATTATTGGTGGTGCAACACCAAACGTCTTCAGCTACACACTTATGCTGGTAGCTCGTGTTTCAAGGGTAGAACTTGGGTAACTTCAGCTAAATTTTTCATTTCAGTTTTGTGAGATTGTGTAAATAAATCTGCAATTATTTTTCAGTGTCACGTCTACAGCAGAGTACGTAAATCAAGGTAACATGCGGACATTCATGATTCATCTATAGAATCAAGGAAACTGTTCCACCTTGACAAATTCATTCTCACCACCACATATTCAAATGTCAGCACTTTAAACGTTGACCCCAGCTTTCATTTCACTTCAAGTATGACAGCCCAGATAAATGCATGTGCTTGTCGTAAAAAAAAAAAACATTTTGCAGTATGGCTATGTTCTTGCAACGTTGTCGTTACTCGTTGTCAAGGCAAGATACATAGAATATGCGAGTAGTAGTTATTTACTTTTTTTGTTGAAAAGTATACTTTAGAGGTGTGCAAATTAGGCGGCGGCGCAAATCAATAGTAAATACATCAATCTAGGTCGAATCAGTTCTAATCTAATCTACATATAAATAGGTGAGTCAGTAAATACAGTAGTTCAGGTCGATCTAATTAAATCCAATCCACATCCTAACCGGCGTGGGCTACAGCCATTATAGTAAAATAGATTTTACTCCAGTGGCAGAACCGGCCAGGCTCCTGTGTTTTCATTTTACACGAATGCCACCAAATGGCACCACTTCTAAGTTTCTCAGCAGCTTTGACTGCGATGTCAAACGATCGCAGACACCTTCAAACTTCATCTGCGGTTACTCTTAACTTGTGTGTTTTCTTCCTGGTTCTTCGGAACATCAAACAGCTGACTTGCTCACTGCCTAGCTCAGGGGTTTTATTTTGGCCAGATTTACATGTTTTTTCACAATTGTCGCATGCCCTGAGAACATTTTGAGTGCGTCTGGTAATTATGTTTACCTTTATAGAGCGCCCGGTTTTTTTTTTCTACTCGGGTTTGTTTGCAGTGTACAGTGTTTTCCATGCAAACGTGGCAGTCATGGAATTTGCTTTGAATCATGATGGAAAACCTGGGAAATTCAAGGAATTTAGAAATATGAAATTGGTAGACACCCTGAAAGGGACCCCTGGCACTTAAAATTTCTAATGCCTTTTGCTGTGGTGTTCCGTACAATGATTCCATAGTTCTGGCATGTAAAAGACTTGTGTCACCTAAAGTTAACTCCGCTAAGACCAACAAACTACTGCATCAAGTGTTAAGATTATTTACTTCAAGAAGTTCACTACAGGTGTGTTCTTTTTCTCTCACTGTCACAGGTGTCAGGAGTGCCCAACACGATCGGTTGCATTGACGGATCCTACATAAGCATCCGCTGCCCTGCAAAAAAAGTGCGTTCAACCTATGTGAACAGGCACAGTTATCCGTCACTGACACTGCAAGCTCTGTGTGATCACAAAAAGAAGTTTCTCGATGTGACTACTGGACACCCCAGCAAGATTCACGATTCGAGAATCTTCAGGACATCGAGGCTTTCTTCAAAGTTGCCGCATGTGTGCTGTTCCGGGAAGTACCACGTTCTCGGGGACGCTGCCTACCCGCTTCGAGATTACCTCATAACCCCATTCAGGAATTATGGTCACCTTGACGCGAGGCAGCGCGCCTTCAATTATCACTTTTCGGCAACGAGAGTGAAGATTGAGAATGCCTTTGGAGACCTCAAGGCCAGGTTCCGCCAGCTGCTGCACCTGGACTTTCTGTTTGTAGACAAAATGAACAAGTTCATTATAGCTTGTTGTGTTTTGCACAATATGTGCATTAATTGTGGTGATGTGGATGTGCCGCCGTACATCGATGATGAACATGCACCGTGGGAATGGGAGGCACAACCGGATGATGTTCCCCCCAACAATGGCCCGCTTGCATCAACTGAAGATGCACTGCGTCGCCAAGGCGAGGAGAAGCGTGAGCGCTTAATGCAAGCGATGCGCATTTGATTTAAAGTTAGGACTGCCTACGTGTACACAAAACAAGAAACGTTAAGGTGTTGTAAATTTTGTTTCGTGTTGTAGAGATTTCTAGCAGAAAATAACACTAAAAGACGGGACGAAGCAAGGACACAAACTACGGCGCTGACTAACAAGCAAATTCGTTTTATTCTTCTAATCCGCGTATATATACTTTACCACAATCTCAAGGAAACAAAAAAAAAATAGAATCATGATAAATGCATGCCCCTCATTTCTGAAGCGTATCATTTACAACGGCGGCGAAACATGCATCAGTTTCCCTTATATTTCCCTCTCTCTGAAGGAGTTACCTCTCCTGTCTTATTGAGCATTTCTTTCCTCCTGAGTCAGCCAACATTTGTGTGTGTCTTTTTTTTGCTTTTTCTCACCCTTCAGATTAGTGGTGGAGTGTATATACCTAGACTGGAAGAATAAGACACATTTGGCTGTTAGTCAGTGCCATGGTTGTGTCTCTGCCATGGTTGTGTCCCTGCTTTGTCCCATCCTTTAGCACTGTTTTCTACAGGAAACACTGTACTAACCAGCTAAAATGCATGCCGCACTGTGTTGTAGTGACTCATCTTGCTAGGGCGCAGCCTGATTTTTTTGTTTCTTAGCTTTGTGACACGTAGCAGCTTCCACATAGCGTGAGTCAACCCAAGATGTTTGCAGGAATCTGACTGGATCAGTGTAATTGTTTCCTATGCGAAGCCATCAGCATGCTTATTGCTGACTAGTGCTAACGCCGCAGCGTGTTGGTCGGTATGGCTACTGCAGCTGAAGATAGCTGGTGATATTGATAGTAACTGCACTCTTCGTGCTGGTGAGACACGAGAAAGTGACAAAGTCAACCGGCCAAACATAGCTGGGCTCCAGCTCTCGTCAGCCACCACAAACATTCTGAGAAACATGTAGTGACATTGGCATAAGTCCAAGCTAGTGCAGGCTACACTGAGGAGCATTTGTGTTAATGGAACAATGTCACCAAAATTACGAGCTTGAAATGTTTGTGTTGTTTGTCTTGCAGTTGGGGCACTATGCTTGTCAGTTAAACCTGTCGCTTCGAGGAATATTCGTAATGAACACCCATCCCGACTCATTGTTTCCCACGCATGGTGCCCAAATTCAAAAAGTGCGCTCTGAACGTCACAAAAGCCCGAGTCTACATAGTCTTATGACTCCTGAGATTGTTCGCTGTGTAATTTTTTGTGATTCCAGTAGTAGTTTTACAGTGATGCCAAAATTAGTCACAAGGAGCCATTCTTGCATTAATTACACAGTACATTGCAATATTTATGATCAAAGTTTGGGGACTACCGGACACAATGCTCTTAATTAAAGCATTCAAGTCAAAACAAAAATTTGTCAGGGGTCCTTTAGGCATGGTGACTGCTGCTGTGAGAAATGGCTTCTTTGTCATGCAATTTGGTTATTGCTTGTGCATTAACATTTCATTTGCCTGATGAAAATTTGCATGGACAAACGTTCTGCATTTCTTAGTCTTTGTTCAGCTTTTCTTACCATCAAAACGGCGTGAAATTATAATGATCATTGCAACTTTGTCTTGTAAAAGGGCCCTGGAACCCTTATTTCACCTCAACAACAAACATTGTCAATCTGTTATCAATGCGCCTGCCAACGTGCACATGTGTACAATGCTTACAATAAACATGCTTTTCACATTTTATTCATTTTTCTTCAAGTTGAAAATTTCACGGAGAAGATTCATCTTTTCTTTGTGCATTTCTTCTCGTCGCTGTGTTTTAGCAAGTCGTCGCTCTTCCCTCTTGCTGTCTCTTTCAGCCTTTCGCTCTGCTCGCCGTTCATCTAACTCCTTCATTTTTTCAAAGAAGGTTTGCAGGTGGAGCTCGCGTGCTGAATTCGGGCGTTTTCTTTTTGAATCAGGAGTGTCGTCCTGCCCAACGGAGCTGGATGGAGAGTGTGACGTTGACGAGCTTGAACCAGCAAGTGGAACAGACTCGGTGGATGACTGTGGACATGTCTTTTTTGATACCACTCCACTTGCGTCGCGTACCACTTCTGGTTCCAAGCTGTCGTCCAGCCACTTGATTTTTTCAAGCTCGGCCTCGTAGGGGACTTCTTGTGGGGAACAGCCAGACGTATTATTTTTCCCAGCTGCCACATTTTTTCTTTTCAGTACGGTTTTGTACCGAGAGCAGCACTGCTCACCAGTTCTCATTACACCCAGTTTATTATTAATGTCTGTTGCAATTTTTTCAAACATGGCCTTTTTGTTGCGAAATTTTTTCAGAGGGCCAACTTGAGGGAAATATGAGGCGTAGAGGTCCAGCAGCAGCTTCGTCTCGCCACTCGTCCACTCACACCCTGCAGCTGAAATATGCATTATACACACATAAAATACATATAAACTGGCATTAATAGACTTTTTTGATACAGGGCACGAAGCTATATGCTCTCTGAGCCATAGAACACTTACTGTAAAGCATTAGTACTGTCACACTGTTTTGGCACAGCAAATATTGGGTGCTGTGGGGATCGCTTTGCATATCAGAACAGACAATCATGCAAATTCATAATATTACTATACATAACTTATTCACAGCATAATTTTCTTAGAGAGTAAATTTGAAAACACTGCATAATAAATATGGGGCCTCTTCGTGCAGCTGACTATTCGTTGAATTCAATTTTATTATTTAAGCACCCAATATTGAGAAGCGTGAGCAAGAAGCCATTAAATGGTTTTGCGTAATTCGTGGTTTTTTTGAGAGGGTTTGCAATCTGCTGGACCTATCTTCATCCTAATGCCACTAGCATGTTTGTGTATGCATGCTTACCACGTGCAGGAGTCCCTGGCTGACAAGCCCGACTTGGTGACGCACCAGTAGACGCTGCAGAATCTGTGTTTGATAATTGAAAAGCATTGTAGTATGTTAATATGTGTTAATTTTAAGCAGGTACACAATTTTCTTCAAGTAGTCCTTACACGTTGCTCGTCAAGGCATTGTCCTCTACATATATAGACGACTGTATACAAAACTAGTTCTACAGAGACACATGTAGACCAATTTACCATTTCCTAAAAATGCGCCCTGTGTATGTGACAAAGCGTCGGTGGCGTCACACTGTGTAGCACCTTCAAATAGAGAAAAAGAAAAGACATTTGCGGGTTAACACCAAAAGAGTAGAGGTCAAGAATCACCAAGAAAACGTTACTTCTCTAGTAAATTTTTCATGCATGTATTCATGCGCGAATACAGAGATCGCCATGCATTTTTATTAAAGGTAATACAGCAGCTTGGTGAGCGCTGCGAAAATTCCGGCGCTTGTGATATTCTAAATAGTAGGACTGTAAGGTGTTGGGTAAGCAACTGCTCTGATTAAAAAAAAAGCCTGCTCACAACATGCCGTATTTTTGCGAGCGCCGATTGCGGCCGTTACCACGTGTACCCGCATGCTTTACAATTATCTGACCAGTCTTCATGCGGAGCTATCAAAGTTAGCATTCCGTGCAGAGTTTATTATCAGCGTCAAGTACGTCGCACTTACCGTTCAGATCGTTGCCGCTGTTTCTGAAAACGCCCAGCAACAGCCGACGCACAGCCGGTGTCAATTCCGCGTGCTCGTCCATACTTGCTACACAACTGCTGTTCGCGACTGCGTTAAAGTGTTCTACAAAGCTTTAACTGCGTGGTCGAAATGCGCGCCCTGCAGTGGCGGCCAAAGTTGCCAAGGAAACGAAGAGAGCGGAAAAAGAAACTGTTTCCGGAACCGGTTTGCGTGACGTATGCATAATCAACTTCCGGGGCACCTCTCACGGAGCATTCTCGTGTTTCACTGGCAGAGGTGGCTTCGTGCGATCCGAGTGCTCGCTCCGGGATTTCGGCGGTCGCTCTGAATCTCCCAGTGAAAAACACCATAAGCCGCCGCGGCTTTTTTTTTTTTAAGCGAGGCTGTGAAGGGCGAGGTTGGGGTGAATCGCATCCGCGGTCAGAAAACGTACAGAATAACAATCTTTGACCAACCGATTACAGCGTTTTTGACCAACCAATAAACCAGCGTTTTTGCGCTGATAAAGAGGACACGACGTAAGGGTAAACATCCATGTGCACGACTTCGCCGATGTGGTAGAAGAATGACGTCATCACTTTTTTTTTGCAAGACAAGACTACGTCATCTCATTTTTGCAGCGAAAGCTGTTATCACATCACAACTCGGGTCACGCGCGGCACCGTAGTTGTCCGCCGCCGCCGCCATTGTCCATCACCACTATCGCACGAAAGAAGAAAAATAGTACGAGGGACACAGTGGGGCTCGAACCCGCGTCCACTGCGTGCCAGCCAAGTGTTCTACCAATGAGCCACGTCGGTGCTTGGGGCTTGTTCGCAAACTCACCTTAGGCAGGCTTGATTTCGGGAAAAGAATCGCGTTAATATGACTAATAAAGCGTTTTAGAACCGCAAAGAACAACCAGGCGTCACACAATGCGAATAGCGTAACGAGTGGATTATCCAATGCTCAAATTCATTGCAAAAGCTTGTTCTTGATCAACTATTAACTGTGACGAATACCCACTTCAGGCATAATTTCTCATCGTCGTCAGTCACTGCATGAGCACTTGGCACAAAATTCCTTGCAACTGTTTAGCGGATACAACGATTTCACAAGAACGATGCAAGATAGCATAGCGAATGCCGGCCTACTACCCAGAAATTATTATTAATAATGCCGTAGTGCATAGTACCCAGCAAGTGAGCTTGCAGCAGTTACCCAACGAGTGTTTAGAAAAGGCTCTGAAAGGCTGCTCTTCTGGCTTTCGCTGTGACTGTGCTGCGCCTTCCGCGCAGGCCTGGCGTTCTTTGTTCTTTCCAAACAATGGGGTTCATTCGTACTGCAATATTTTGTTTTGAGATAGCTTTGACCGTCGTAGATAAAATTATGTACTTCATGCGTACGAGAAACCGAGGAATCTTTTGCTGTATCACTCTTTATTTGCTCAACAATACTACAAATTCACAATAGCAAGAGCACTGACAAATGGGCTAGTTGGCACCGATTCACTGACGACTGACTGTGCTACGCGCACACAGGCAAATACAAGTGGGCACCACTGGCGCACGGAGGAGCTACGGTAAAATAGGCTTCCGGAATAAGTCTTGAATTTTCTTCACCAGTATACTTTACCAAACCTACCATAGTCACAGCTTCGCTGACTGCCATCTTCAGAGTTGTGGATTGGTTCCGGTTCTCTTTTGTGTCTGTGTGTGTGTGCGTCCGTCCGTCCGTCCGTCCGTGCGTGCGTGCGTCGCCCACCTACCATGTCACCATTTTGAAAGTTTCTGCCTGCTCTGAACATCGTTTCGTCCTTTGTAGCTTTACGCGCTGATGCATGTGTCGATGTGTACGTAACAGAGTTGCGCACCTGACGACCGAGTATTGGTGTATCTGCGCGCAGGTTTTTGACATCTTTGCGGATGGTGTGGCAGTGTACACGTCCAGCCAAGACCCGAGCCTGGAATGTCTGACCGCCGAGAGGAAGGAATACAAGCCGAACAAGAAGGTCGTTTATACCTGGAACCTGCATGGTGACCCGGGGTCGGAGAAGTGAGCCGTTTTAATTGAATGTATCACATTTAGGCATAGCCGTGTGCATAAAGAGATGAGAGAATAGGGAAGATTTGCGCATACAAGTTGAAACTCTTGCACTCGCAAAATCATTTCTCGACATCGAGGAGGTTTTCGAACAGTAGTGTCGTTTATTTGCTTGTTTTCCCTACCATATACTACTACAACAATCACCCAAAAGCGTCGTTGTAGCGGTATACGTTAAAGAGGGAAAAGGGGGTTTACGTTAAAGAAGGATTTTAATTGGACACATAAAAACCAAGCATGCAATAGGACGTAATTGTGTGAAAATAATTACACAAAGTAAACACACGAACAGCAAACACGCTAATTATAAATACACGAAAAGTAATCCCACTAAGAGCACAGGTTATGTACAACAGACCAAAGAGTACAGCTCGGTAAAAAATTGTCGCGCTCACTGAGACTCACTCATGACATATATCTTGCACTTGGGCGTCACTCGGACTCAGACTCGCCAAAATTTTCCTGAGCTCGGCTCATCCAAGCTCACTCTCACGAAAATGTTCTTCAACCGAACTCACTCGTACTCGCACTCGCCAAAATATTTCTCACTCGGACTCACAGTTCGACCCGAGTCCGAGTGGCTCGACTAATCAGCCCGTTAGCCCACAACTATAGCTTGCTCCAACTTCATGTCAACGTTCTCTGACACCGATATCTCACGTAATCTGTGCTCTGCTTGGCGTCGTTTGATAGAGTACCACGATGTACGAGTTATGAGTGGTCACAGACGAGTAACATTTTTCATGAAAAACTAACAGCGTAAAAAACTAACGGCGTACGAAACGCTCATTGTACCCGTCCTAGAATCCGTAGCAATAGTTTGAAACCCGCACAAAAAAAAAACATGAATGAAGCATTCGAAAGAGTTCGAAACAGGGCTCTCATGTTTATTTTTTCCAAGTATGCCAGGCAAAAGAGCGCTTCTGCGCTGCGTTTGCAAGCACGTGTCGCAACTCCTGCGAGCCTTCGACAATTAGCTTGTCTGAAGTTGTTTTTTTTTTATACCTAAGAGCTCCGAACGTAACAGCTCTGAACCTAACAGCTCCGAACCTAGGAGCTCTGAACCGTCACTCCAGCAGAACTAACAACGAGAAATGCATACGCCCATTCCTGTCACGTTGTAACACGTTCAAGCATTCTTTTTCCCGCAGTTATAGAGATGTGAAATTTCTCGACCAATGACGTCGTCCATGCTCAATCACTTCAATTATTTTCATCGCTGTTGGAAATTCATTTAGAGGCATCGCTATAGGTTCTGTGACGTGTGCGCAAATAGAGGCAGAAACGATGTATCGCGCATGTACTCGCACATTGCTACACGTGCTTAACAGCCTGTATAAGTGTGTCAATTATGTTACCGTTTGATGTGGTTATGATAACTATAGTTATATTCTTTTCTCCCCCAGTGAAACGCATATGCATTGTTAATTGATTAGTTGTTAATGTTGTTTTAGTTTGTTTGTGTATTTTCCCTTCTTTTTTTGTTGCTTGTATTGTGTATGTTTCTCTATTTTGGTCTTCTGCAATATAGACTTATTTGGGGGGCTTCGTATGTCTTCTCCTATAAAGGTAGAAAAGGTAGTAGCCATGTATTTAAAAGTCAATCTATACTAGCAACTACCAAAAAATTATGAACTTCACCACAAAGAGACTTTGAATTATCAACCGCCCCGACTCACGACCCACGTAATCAGTCTGGTGAGTAATAATATTGACATGAGTATGACGAGACGAGATAGGACACAGGTCGGTAGCCATTATACCTCTAGCGTTACTTGTAGGTCAAACGATTGGATACGATGAAGTGAGAGGTGAGCACCACATGGTCGGGAAGAACCAAAGCTTGAACTATGATTTCACCTGAGACCCCCTAAAATATAGTGCTTTCACTTTACTGCGCTCACTGCCTCATCACCAAAATTCCCTTGACCTGACTTAGTCGAATCAACCGTAACCCAGATTGAGCAGAACGTGAAGAAGGCTCACTCCAACTAATGCGGCGAATCGACTTGCGTGATATCAGTCTGAGCGGAGTCTCGTTTCCAGGTGCTATTTGTGCCATCGCCGGTGTCCTCACTATGGTTTAGCCCAGTGCTCAAGCGTGACGTTGTACGTTACGCACAGGAGCAGGGCGTTCGTACCCGTGTCGTCAAAACCGAATGCGCAAATCCGGGCCACTGATTAAGCTTCTTTTTGCTTCAGCGTTTTTGTCATCATTTCGCATTATGCCACAGTGCGCTATAATCCCTTGAAATGTGACAATGTGGCGATATGCCGAAGCAATTAGAAAAAAACTTCAGGAATTTCTAGGGCTAGAACATAATATGGGCCTTATCTCACGACACAGTTGATTGTTTGGAAATGGCATTAGGCATCGCAGAAAATTCTCCATGTACGTGGTGCTGCTCTAAAAATTAATCTAATCGCCTCCCGTATATAGCAACCAGCTCGGCAGCAGTTCATGTTTATGTACAAGCTATCAGAAATATGCTGCCTAAGAGCACAAACTCGTTATCATACGTCGACCCCAGGAACTGAGGCAGTTTAAATCATTCTTTAATCCAATGTATGTGGGAGGAAAGAGAAAGATGACTGAATATTTTTGTTTTGTGTTGTATGGCAAGATGTTTCGCGTATTTTTTTACAATGCTCATGTCTTCGTGATGCGAACATCGTGAAAACATGACCGTTTTAGTTAATGGCATTTCAGTTTCAATAACGTTTCGGTTAATGGTGGTATTATTCCAATCAATTACATTCAATAATGAGCACCTAGGTGTAGTAAGGTGGTTATCAAACGTGTCTCAACAAAGCTTGCATTTCTAGGTGGCGAAGTTAAGTGTTAAGAGATTGTTTTTTTTTCTTTTTACCGCACGCATAAAAATTGGTTTGGAATAATTGAATGCAGAGAAACTACGGAATACATTATTTTTAGTGTGTGTGGAATACAAATTTTCACCAACAGACGTAGAGACTTCACTGAACGCCGAGAACATTTATGTGTTTCTAACTGTGTCGCCTGTGTTGATTACCTTTTCAGTGAGACGTATGTGGTTGAGTACTATCCGGGCCCTTCCAATGACACGGTGTTCGCCATTGTAAACCGTGGTGAATATATTGCTTCCAAACATTTTGCTTTGCTCACTAAGCATTTCAACAACATCCAAACAACACGATAGCAGTGAAACACTACAACTAAGCACTGGAGATGGTCACAATCTAAGAATAAGCTTAAGCTCCACCCTGTCGTCGCTTTCCGTTTCAAAGAGCAAGTTATCCGACATTTAGCGTGACGCTCGCTCTAAAACTGGCTCTATCTTAACTGATGGTTGGCGTGAGCTACTCAGTTAACTCGCATAAAAAAAGAAATCAAATGTCTTGATAGAGCACAGTTCACACAGGAAATTTCGCGGCGGTCATAGCCTGAAGGATTGATTCTCGCGAACCTGCGCATATTATAAATCTGAGCAATGACTAGAGCTCGGAAGCCAATTTATGTCAATTCTGATGTTCGCGTTCCCGATCCTGCACTGCTTGCTGGACCTCGCGACCATGACATCAAAGAAGGAACCTGAAGTGAATGACAAGCTTCCTTGAAGTCACCGCTGCGGCCGAGCTCCGACATGCGCAACTAAATCATGACGTCCTAGTGGCCATTGCGATTCTGTCACATTTACG